TGTACCTGGGCCCTGACCCCATGAGCACCATGCCATACAGCCCTTCTCTTCCTGTGGCCTGGGTTTTATTTTTTTACCACCTTACTCAGTTTCTGGAAGTATGAGAACAGGCAAAATCTTCTAGGGAACATTTGCCCAAGGCTGTAGATCCTGGAAGGAAAGCAGTGCCTTCCTGGAGAGCTGAGGAGGGTTGAAGCTATCGAAGCAGATGGGATTTAAACCCAGCCTTCTCATCAAGTCTTTCCCTCCAGGCTAGTGCTGGGCAGCTCCTGAAAGAGAAGGCTGCTTGCTTTGGATTCCCAGTCTGAAGTGCCAGATGCAGCACTGGTTTCCACCAAATCTGTATGGCTCTGCCATCTGAAAAGGAGATCTTACTATATTTGTCCTTCAGCATCTGCACGGCTTGTCCAATCCAGGCCCTCACTCCTAAAATTGAGAATAACATGGCACAGTGTAAAATCTTCCCATTCAATAAAGAAGTTCCAAGTCAGCCTAAAACCTTTAGGATGTACTATTGCAGTCCTGCCAACATGTTACCTCAAGCATCAGCACCAGCAGGACACTCTGTGGCTGGTAGGCGCAGAAAAGAGCTTACATTTGAAGAAGAGTGTTCATTTGACTTAATGTATATTGTCTCTTCAGTCAGTTTCTGGAAGACATTGGTCAGCTACTAAAGCTGTAAAGAATTTTTTCAACTTCAGCCTCAATCTTTCATGTATATCCCAGCTAACTGTGGTTCCAAAACAATTTTGAAGACTGAGTTGTGCACAATATTTAACAGACCAGAATAATTTCCGATTAAATTTGACCAAACGTGAACTACTGGATAAAAATTCAGAATTTGTGGATTGCTTCATGGTAACTCGAGGCTGAAAGACAGTGTTAGTCATTCTATCTGTCTGGGGATCCAAGCATGATGTCCTGCCATAGATTTACCAGAGACCATAAATAACTTTCTTTTTTAAGTAACTTTCTGTTCTCATCGTCATTCCCAAACACATCATTAAAAATTTAGGTGCTGAGGATTGACTTGCAAGCATGATATTTTGTTCTTCCTATGAAATTTTCCACCATCAGCCACCTGCCTTTTAATACTGGAAAGAAAAGAACAGGTTAATTGTGGAGAAGTGAAATGCCTCATTACTTCCCTCATGTTTGCCGTAGGAGCTTGCTGTAACTACTTTCTGCAGTTTATTTCCCCTTTTTAATTTGCCTGCTCTGTGAAAACAAGAGGAGAAATGCACTAGACATGGTCACTTCCTTCTTTCCTGTCCTCCACTGTAAAAAAATGAAAAGCATTTCCTGGAAGGAATGTGCTATATTATGTGAATGCAAGAGGCAGAAGTGTTGGGGTGTGGGTTGGTCAGTTGGTTTCTGTTCTTTTAATTTTTTGAAGAAGGCTGGTTTGCTATCGGTATTGCTATTAGTATATTACTGTATCTATTTGTATAGGATCATTTTATCATGGAATTTGATCGTGAGCACTGTGTTTTAAAACTAATATTATTAGCCAGTGAAACTGCGGTAATTAGAAACAGGACTAGAGACAGTCAGCAGTCCGGTAACTCCAGCAGATCTGAAGGATCTTTTCAAGCCCAGGTAACATGAGACTTCAGTGCTTTTCCCTCCCAGCAATAAGTGGTACAGCCACACCAAACACAGTAATTCCTACCTTGCCACTGCCTGCAGTTTGCTTTTTGTTGTCCCTTCTCATCAGTGTGGGTTTTTCCTTAAGTGCATAACTTCTGGGGGACAGCAGCATGCATCTCACGGAACTGTTGACTGCTGCACTTTAAAATGCACTTTTGAGAAGAGAAGCATCAGTGTGCGCCAGCTGGAGACCCCACAGTTCAGGAGAGAAACTTGTGGGACACCAGCGTAGCAGCCTCCCACACTAGGCTGCCCCGGGAATCATAACTGAGCAGTAGGTGGGTGAACCAGGAGGTGAGAAGCGAAGGGAAAGCAACGTAACCGCTTGGCTAAACTACATCTGCTTCAACTGCACTGCCAAATACAATTCTACACGTGGATGTTCCTCTTTGCAGGCTCACCTTGACACAAACCAGTGCAATAGCGGAAGTATGATCCAATTAGAAGGCAATTTTAAAAAAATCTGCTTATTTTCAACACTCAGGACCTCACAATAGGGTGGGAAAGGTAAAACCCGTGGCAGGGCAGGTAGAACTGAGAACTGGGCCCAGGTAGGGAAACAGAGGAGAAGAGATGGAAAGTGAGAGAGAGATCTCCCCTTTCTGTGCCTGTGGGGAGCCAGAGCACGGAAAACCAACTGCTAAACCACCTCCTGCGGGGCCTGGAACTTAAATTAACCTGAAATCCTAAACTGCTGTTCTGGCCTTTACTGTGCTAAAAATCCATCATGAAAGTTGCGTTCATTTTGAGCTCAGGAATAAAACAGTCCCATGACCCAGATATGCAGTGAAAAAATGAATCACTCACTTGTTTTCTTCTTTTCTGGACACTTTTATCTCTGGCTGCTTTCAGCCAGACGTCGTTGTGAGATGTCAAATACTCCCGAGCTCCGATTTAACTTGTGCTCTGTGAGGGCTTATGTGTTAGGATGCTAGGGGGAAAGAATAGCGGAAATAAAAGTGAGGGTCGTCTTCAAAACCAGAAATACACTGATAAAAGTTGAAATTATCTCATGGCAACTGCACCTCCTCCCTCTCCCTGGGAGGATCAGATGCTGTGTTGCATCCCAGACCGACCAGCTGAGTGGTGCTGCTGTGGTGGGCTTGTTGCAAATGGAGTATCTGCTTCAAAACCCACCTAAGGGTAGAATTGTCCTGGGCTGCACCCTCAGCAGTGTGGGCAGCAGGGCAGGGAGGGGATCCTGCCCCTCTGCCCTGCTCTGGGGAGACCCCCCTGCGATGTTGGGTCCAGCTCTGGACTCCTCAGCACAGCAGAGACAGGGACCTGCTGGAGTGGGGCCAGAGGAGCCCCAGCAATGACCCGAGGGGGGAACCCCCCTGCCGGGCGCTCAGCAGGAGAGAGTTGGGCTTGGGCAGCTGCAGAGGAGAAGGCTCCAGGGAGACCTCATTGCAGCCTTCCAGTATCTGAAGAAACCAAGCTAGGGAGGGACTTTTTAAAAGGGCTCATAGTGATAGGACAAGGAGTAATGGGTTCAAACTGGAAGAGGGAGGATTTAGATTGGCAGTTAGGAAGAAGTTCTTCAGTATGAGGGTGGTGAGACACTGGAACAGGTTGTCCAGGGAAGCTGTGGATACTCCATCACTGGAAATGTTCAAGGCCACGCTGGACGGGGCTTTGAGCAATTTGGTCTAGTGGGAGGTGTCCCTGCCCATGACAGGGGGTTGGACCTAGATGATCTTTAAGGTCCCTTCTAACCATTCAATGATTCTATATTTACATATTCTTTTTAAAGTGAGTACTTCCCACATGATTGGTCATGAAGCTTTTCTGCAGCCATCTATTGAGAAGAAGCAGAGACTGAATAGTTAGCTTCCAAAAAGTTCCAATTGATTTTTTCTTCATTAACGTTCAGTACCAAGCAAATGCAGCTGCTGAGATGTTTTCTCAGACTCTGGTTACTACTCTCAAAATTATCACAGCTATGAAAATGATTTTTGTCTTTAGCAGAGAGAACAGGTGACACGAACACAGGAACAAGTAAATGACTGAATACAAAAGATCTGGCTTAGCTGTCTCCTCTGCTCCCTCCCTGGCGTGACCTGGGCCTGGGTCCTGACTTACCTCAGCAGAAAGCTTCAAGAGGGGATTTTATAAAAGCAGAGCAAGTGACTACACCAACCTGTCCTTATGTGTGTGGCTCCCTGGGTGTGCTCAAGGCAGGTGCTGGCCAGTCGCCTCGCCCTGGGAATGAAACTTGGCTAACGTGAGGCTACTAATGGCTTCCTGCAGGAAAAAACCCTACGATAGGAACACAAAGGCCTGAGTTTAGATAAATAAACCACACAGGTTCACTTGGGCTTCTAATCGTTACAAAGATGTAAACAGCCAGAATTCCCCTCCTGTTTATCCAAAGAGTATTGTATTTAAAAACGTAATGAGACTAACGAATCAGTGCTGCCTGCAGCACAGTAATTAGACATACGCTTGCAAAGGCAGTTTGGATTCTCCAGAAAAATGCATTTTCTACACACTGCCTCACAAAGGAAAACCAAACCCCGTGGCAAGCGGGAGCAGGAAGGGGTTTACCATGAGGCCAAGTGCCTCTTATTAATTAAACATCTTTTATGCAAATGGAACAAACCTTCAGACACAGAAGTGACCCGCTTTGCATACCAGAAAACTTGTCTAATAGATCACAGTGCAGCATACAAAACCCCTGCTTTTCTTTCAGGTATTTTGGGCTGATTTAATCAAAAGAGAGGCTTGGAAATGTACTGAACAGTTAAATGACACATAATGTCATTTTAAAAGGAATTAATTGAATAAATGTAAAGTTTACCATGTTACTTGTTTCCTGTTACTTGGAAACCCCCCTCCAAAATATAGACATCGCAAAAGCGAACACAGAAGGAAAAATAAGAGACCAGTGAAAGGAAAGCAGATAATGCAAATCATTTCTGCTGGGCTTTGCTCTTATGCTGCTGAAAGAGACATTGATGCTGTTTCAGGGTAATTGCTATTTTCCATGGCCAACACTAAAAGCTAGTTTCTGTTTTGGCCTGCTTGGGGCCAGGCCAGCGTGTCAGCTCCCACACCAAAAATACAACCTCTTAACTGAACCATTCCTATCAGCAACTGGGAAAAAAACCTGAAACAAACCAGAAAAAAACCCCAAACAAATCCAAGAAAATAACGTGTCTCAGAGGTCTACATTTCTGAGGCCTTTCTGATGTTTTCTGCTCCAAGAGGCGCTACTGGCTGCATCCTGTCAGCAGGGAGTATTCTTTTATTTTCCCTTGTCTAATAAATCACAGTTTAGCATACAAAAATACCTTTTTTTGGATAGTTTATCGGGCAACCTGACTGACTTATAATTCTGTTATTTTCAGGGTTACTCAGTATCGATCTGGCCTACGAAGGTCTTTGAGCTGTTTTTCTTCTTGCCTATCTCTGTGAGGAAAGCCTCTAAACTGTCCCTCAGTATAAGGGTTGTTTATTGTTGTTGTTAAGACCCTTTGTGTTTGCTGCTGGGCTCATCTCATCCGACCACATTCCCGGTGCTGCAAGGCCGTGAGGTGGCCACGGTGCCCTCATTGTCCTTCCTCAGAGCTTGTTGCAGCTCCTCAGCAAGTCCCAGCACATCAATCTACAGATCACACTGATGGCCGAATCCTTCTTCTCTTCCAGAGCACCCCAGACTCGGGGCACAAGTACTACCTGCAGTTCACTACTGAAGACTACCAACGTGGGGTGAGTTTATGGTTCACATATTTAGTGTTTAGCCCAGGTGGCCAAGAAGGCCACCAGCATCCTCGCATAGATCAGCACTACTGTGGCCAGCAGGAGTAGGGCAGGGATCATCCCCTGGCCACTCCTCAAATCCTGGGCTCAATTTTGGGCTCCTCACTCCAAGAAGGACCTTGAGAGGCTGGAGCGTGGCCAGAGAAGGGCAACGAAGCTGGGGAAGGGTCTAGAGCCCAAGTGTGGTGAGGAGCAGATGAGGGACCTGGGGGTGCTGAGCCTGGAGCAAAGCAGGCTCAGGGGAGACTGAGATGACTCAGTGCACTTCTGCTACACTTTAATTAAAAACTGCTGTTAAATCACTTCAGCCCTGTGATTTTTACTTATTTATCTTCCTGGAAAAAATAATTACACCCTTCTAAAGCCTTTTTTGACCCACGGACAGCTTCACAGAAGGCGTCTCACAAAGACACAGCCGTGCTCCACGTGTACATGTCGCACGCTCATACCAACAGCTGCTTCAAGAACGTGGTGTGGGTAAGTACAGTCTTGATTAGGGATAAATTTTAAATCCTGCCTTTGCAGGAGAACGCCGGGAGCTGCCTTGCAACAGTGCTGTACCCAAAGACAAAGGCTCCGCCCGCGGTCACTATCAAGTGCACGGATGCCAAAGACCAGAAGCAAATCCAAGAAGAGGACAATAGACTTTACCAAAAACTTAGGCACCAAACCAAACCAATAACCGCACACAACATTCCAGGTATGTTCCTCCAGATAATTCACTATATTTCATTTTATCCTAAAGAGCCTGGGCACTTGTAAGAACACACTCGTGTTGTAAGAGTACACATGTTTTAAGCAGGAGCCACATACATCTCCAGAAGCACCCTAAAACCCTGGAGCTATCAAAGCAATCCCATCCATCGGGTTTCTCACCTCCTTGCAGGGACCCTGTGAACAATTTCAGTTTCAGTTGAACTTCAGTTCAAAACCCTCAGCAATTTCAGTTCTGTCCCACTGATACTTCTGCCTGCGGGTTTAGCATCATTCTCCTCCTGGTTCAAGGCTGTGACATGTTGGAGGGATGAGTCACTTCCCAGGAATAGTTCAACACCAGGCTAAAGTGTTCAGCAGTGCTTTGTTTTTCTGCTGAAGAGCCATAATGAATCATTTTTATGTTACTCTTTTCCACTTGCAGACAGCTATGGCAACATTGACCCTGCCCTGGAGCCCGTGTGGGCCCTGGCTGTGGCTGGCAGCAGTTATATCATGTGGGAAAAGTCGACGGAGAACTTGGGTTACTTCATGGCACAGGTCAAGTCTGCGAAGCAGTGGGTAAGTGAAGTGGAAATCACACGTCTGCCTGGCAGGAGCCAACAGAGCAAACCAGCCACCAGCAGCTCATGCTCTGCAACGGCTGCGATCCTCCTCAAATCCTGCTGGCTTCTTCATACAGGCACCTCCACCTCTGGAGAAGTGTTCTGTCCAACTTTTCGTGGAAAAATTTTACTTATTTGGGCAGAAATTTGGTTTTCCCCATTTGCATGAGTGGCTCTGCAGGTTTAATCAGGTTTGAATGTATGGTCCTCCAGTTCCTCAGCCCCATTCTAATTTGATCCTAGTACTCTTTGCCCTCTGAGCCAAGGTAGAATCATAGAATCATTTTGGTTGGAAGAGACCTTTAAGATTATTGCGCCCAACCATTAATGCAGCACTGCCACGTCACCACCAAACCACGTCCCTCAGCACCACATCTATGAGATGATTCTCGCCTGAGATTTCTCTGAAGGAGAGATGAATAGCCAGGCAAGGTGCTCAAAGGGGAGGGTTGAACCCAAATGATTCAGTGCCCGAGCCAGGCGAGCTCCCTGTGAGCGAGGGGCTGGCCTGCAGAGCCACACTGCAGTGCCTGCGTTCCAAGAGCGCTCCCAAATCCCAGCTCTCCATGCAGAGGTCCCACCTCACTCCAGCCAACCACCACAGCCACCCAGGGCCCTGCCCGCCGTGCTCCCAGGAGCTGCCTGTACCTCAGAGCAGGCTCCCCACGTCCACCGTGTAACTTGTGTCTTTGTGTTGTTTTTCTTCTCTTCGATACACGCCCAGATAAGGAAGGATGATTTTATCGAGTTTGACTACACTGTCCTCCTCCATGAAGTTCCAACGCAGGTAAGAGCACCTGGCCAGCGTCTCTTTTCATCGACAGAAAAGCAGTAGAAAGGTCATAAAAAGATACATATTTTTAACTCTTGTTCTCCAGGAAATTATTTCATGTCACATGCGCCTCACTTGGCTTCCTGGTCACCCTCTGAAAGTGAAATACTTCTGTGCTTTGGAGAATCAGGGGCTGGAAGATGGCTCTGGAGCGGAATCGGGATCAGCCGCCGGGATTTTACACGGAAGGGGAGCAAATTTTTAAGAGCACTGCATCAGCTATATATATATATATA